CGGGGCAGGGCCTGCCCCTGGGTGCTGACGTCCTTCCCGAGTACAAGCTGCAGGCCCCACGCATCCACCGATGGACCATCCTGCACTACAGCCCCTTCAAGGCCGTGTGGGACTGGCTTATCCTTCTGCTGGTCATCTACACAGCCGTCTTCACCCCCTACTCAGCCGCCTTCCTGCTCAACGAGGAGCAAGTGGAGGAGAAGCACTGGAACTGCAGCTACTCCTGTGACCCACTCAACATCATCGACCTCATTGTGGACATCATGTTCATCGTGGACATTGTCATCAACTTCCGGACCACCTACGTCAACATCAACGATGAGGTGGTTAGCCACCCTGGCAAGATTGCCATCCACTACTTCAAGGGATGGTTCCTCATAGACATGGTCGCCGCCATCCCCTTCGACCTGCTCATCTTCCGCTCCGGCTCCGATGAGGTACAGGCAGGGCTTGAGGGTCCACCAGGACAGGAGGGGACTCATGGATGGATGGGGAGAGATGGATGGGAGAGAGAGGGACATGGATGGCTTGATATAAACGGTGCATTGGCTAGATCTGCAAGGAGAGGGGCGGTTGGTCAGACAGATGGACAAGGATGTCATTACACATTTTAATTACGCAGCTGGGACCTGGGATTTGTTTTATTAGAGTCCGACAGCCACACAGACCCTGCTGTGAGTGCTAAGATAGGTCTACCTGGGCCCACTCCTCCCCCTTGCTGGGGCTGACCCAGCAGAGCAGGCTGGGAGCTCGGGTTACAGACTGGCCCCACAAGCCAGCGAGGCCAAATCTGGGGTGGCATCACTAGCCAGGCTCCAAATGTTGGCAATGGGTTGGCCCTGGGGTTACTGTGCTACCTGGAGGCCCCACCTCAGCTGAGAGACCCTGGGTGAAAGGTTTTGGGATCAACAATTGGCAAAGTGAGGACCCATCAGGACACATGGGGTTGGCCTTGGCTCCTCTTGCGTGCTCACCTGTGATGCCACCGCTTGTTGCCTTTATGGTCAGCAGAGGGAAAGCGTCCTTTCTGTGGCACCATTCATCCAACCTATTCCAGATGTCACCTCCAGGACAAGGTGATTCATGCTCTAGAAATGCATTTTTATCCTTCAAAGGGAGCACAGCTAGGCTGGGTTTGGCCAAATTTATCCCTTGCTTGTCCCTGAGGTTTCTCACCTCTCCCCTGCAGACCACCACCCTCATTGGCCTCCTGAAGACTGCCCGGTTGCTGCGCCTGGTCCGCGTGGCCCGCAAGCTGGACCGTTACTCCGAGTATGGAGCGGCCGTGCTCTTCCTGCTCATGTGCACCTTCGCCCTCATCGCCCACTGGCTGGCCTGCATCTGGTACGCCATCGGCAACGTGGAGCGGCCCTACATGGAGCACAAGATCGGCTGGGTGGGTCCAGATCGGCAAGCGGTACAATGACAGCGACCTCTCCTCTGGCCCATCCATCAAGGATAAATACGTCACCGCCCTCTACTTCACCTTCAGCAGCCTCACCAGTGTGGGGTTCGGCAACGTCTCACCCAACACCAACTCCGAGAAGATCTTCTCCATCTGTGTCATGCTTATTGGCTGTGAGTGCCTGCCTGTGTCCCCCCGTCCCCATCCCTGCCTTGGGGATTGGTGGGGTGGTCTGGGGAGAAATAGGGAGAGACCTGCTGGGCTGCAGCATGTGGGGTTTTAGTAGAGCATCTCACTCTGTGCCTCTTCTGCACAGACAAATGGATGGGGAGAGAGATAGAAATTTCAGGATTTCAGAAACCCCCTAATTTCAGATCCATGGCAGGTAGGGGCTTTGGAAACCTGCTGGTTCCAGGTCTGAGATGGTTGGGACACACATCTCCCCATGTGCTGCTGAGTCCTGCCCTCTCGTTGCAGCTCTGATGTACGCCAGCATCTTCGGCAACGTCTCGGCCATCATCCAGCGCCTGTACTCGGGCACGGCGCGCTACCACACGCAGATGCTGAGGGTGAAGGAGTTCATCCGCTTCCACCAGATCCCCAACCCCCTGCGCCAGCGCCTGGAGGAGTACTTCCAGCACGCCTGGTCCTACACCAACGGCATCGACATGAACGCGGTGAGTACGGAGCAGGGACCCCCCATGTCCTTACAACACCTTGTCCTGAACGACCCAGAGTCCAGCTCTGGGTCCACCCAAACATCTCCATCCTTCGACCACGGTGGAGAGGAGGCAGGAGAAGACTTGGGAGGCTGGAGATGGAGTCTGTCTGTCCGCCTCCTGCATCCCCCTTTCTCCTTCTCCCCCTCCGTCTATCCCTCCACATTGACCCAGGGGTTTTCTGGGGCCATGATGGCATTTCCTGGCCGGCGAGGGAGTTTGGTGCCAGCGTGGTGAGGAGCTCAGAGCCCCCATCGGCACCGAGCACTTTCAGGCCGATGTCTGTTGGTGTCACAGAGCCAGGGAGCCGGTATCGATCCAGCTCCTCTCCACATTGCCGGTTGCTAAGCAAAGTGCATCCCGCTCTCGGCGGCAGGGAAAGGAGGGCATTTAAATAAACCTCGATCCATTTTAATTAGAGCCTGGAGAGGCGGCTGTTTGTTAGCAAAGGGGAGGATCAATGGCGGAGCCGCGCTGGAGAGACGCTGTGTCTCCGAGCCTGGTCGGGAGGCACCACAGGGGTGAGGGGGGGCTCAGCCAGGGAGTCCCAGGCTAGGGCTGGGATGGCAGGACTCGGCTCACGGCTGCGGGATCCAGTGCACAAATATTCTGGGTTGGCGGGCTGCAAGAAAGAGAGAGGAGTGAGAAAGGACAAGGTGAGGAGAGAGGACCTGGTACTCTCCATTTCTCAGCACTGGGCAGGCCGTTAGATTGCTCGTTCCCAGCTTGTGCTCCCTTTTTTTCTTAAGACTTGATCCTTCTCCATCCCTGGGTGCTATCAGGATGTGGATTTGCATGAATTCAACCTCTCCGGCTTCATCTGCTGCTGCCTCGTTAAACAACAGGGCAGCATTTGGGGGTTTGCTGCTGGGAGAGCATCAGGTTAAACCTCTCCCATGGTGGAGACACCCCGGGCTGGACATCGGTGGCAATAACTGGAAGCAAAGCCATGGCACCCTACCAAGCACAGATTCTCCCAGCTTAGTGCGAACCCAGGTCACAAATCCCCTGCGATGAGCTGAGCTCGCGGCTTGGACGTGCCCTGCTGGATGCTGCTGAGACGCAACACCATCTAATCAATCACGCCACAGCCCGATCAATTCGTCCGTCCCTCATTTCCCAGTAGGGAAACTAAGGCACTGCTGCCAGCCTGTGAGATCACGGTGGAGCTGGGAGTGAGCCGCGCTCACCGGCCTCATCCTGGATGTCCCAGATTTGGCCACCAGCAGGATGTGAGAAGAGAGCAAGAGGGACCCTGAGGCCATATGCTGCTCTCCAGAAAAATCCCCCAACCCATGTGGATTTTGCCATGAGCCATGGGTGGCAGCGGTCTTCTCCATATTGCAAGTTTTACCTTGATTTCACCTTCAGATTTCGCTTTTGTTCAAGGCAAGGTATTTGCCAGGGGTATATTTAGCTGTTGCTGCACACAACTGGCCCATGCTGCCTCTTGATATTCAGGCAGGTGCTGTTTAATTAGGACAGCACCTCGTTACCAGTTTGTGCTCTCATTCAGCCACGATTAGTGGGTGTAAAGATGAAAAGAGAGGGCTATGCCACCAGGGGTATAAGTAGATCGATCTGGTTATTATTATTTATTGATTGGGCGTGCTCTCATCCCTGGCCATGTGCACAACAAGCCAGGGACAGACAGGTGTCCACCAAGGGATGGTCAGAAGACGTCCCCAGCTTTGGCTTTCTGGGCGCGGGGGCTCCCCATTTGGCCCCACCGTGTCACGCTGTGTGTCACACAGCCTCCTGGGGCTGTCCTTCCCAGGGACGGTGGCATGATGGCATCTCCCTCTCATTCTTTGCAGGTGCTGAAGGGTTTTCCTGACTGCCTGCAGGCAGATATCTGCCTCCACCTCAACCGCACGCTGCTCCAGAACTGCAAGGCTTTCCGAGGAGCAAGCAAAGGCTGCCTGCGCGCCCTGGCCATGAAGTTCAAGACGACTCACGCACCGCCTGGAGATACTCTGGTGCACTATGGAGATGTCCTCACCACACTCTACTTCATCTCCCGGGGCTCCATCGAGATCCTCCGGGAAGACATTGTGGTGGCCATCCTAGGTGGAAAAGTCCTTCCTTCTGGGAGGGGTGATGGGCAAGGGGAAAAGGGTGATGGGTGAAGGGTGATGGGTGATGAGCAGTGGATAAAGGGGGGCAGGTGAGGGGCAAAGGACTTTTCCACATCCTGGAGAAGGGAAGGCTGGTCCTCAACATGTGGCTGGTTACCACACCAGTGGACAGGGAATGGAGGATCCCCAGTAGATGTCAGGGAGAGACCACAAAGGAGTGAGGAGAGCTGGGCATGGCTCAGCAGTCCCCAGCCATCACTGATGACCCACTGCCCTGCCTTGGTCTTCCCATCAGTGATGGCTTTCAGAGCGTCCACACTCAGAGATGGGGTTGCTGGGCATCCCCTTGTTCATGAGCCCCAAAGTGAGGTCTGATGGTCCAGTACCTCTGGAGCTGGGGTGGGTGCCCACTTCCCCCTGATGAGCTGTCTCTTGGCACAGGGAAGAATGACATCTTTGGGGAGCCCATCAGCCTCTACGCCCGCCCAGGGAAGTCCAACGCTGATGTGAGGGCTCTGACCTACTGTGACTTGCACAAGATCCAGCGGGAGGACCTGCTGGAGGTCTTGGACATGTACCCAGCCTTCTCTGACAACTTCTGGAGCAACTTAGAGATCACCTTTAACCTGCGAGATGTGAGTGCCAGGGATGGCCCAGGGAGGGATGTGGTCAACGCCTTAAATTTGGCGAGTCGGAGGACTGAAGTGAGGATGTCAACCTGTGCTCCTCACTCCGTTTGGTGCTGGATTGGCCAACAGCCACTTTTCCCAAGGTCCTCTCCATGGGTTTACAGTTTCCCCCATAGCCCAGCAGAAACGTGCAGACTGCACATTCCTGAGCTCTTTGGAAAAGTTGGCCCCACAAGCCATGTTGGTAGTACGTGGCTCTGCAGCACCTGGAAATCATCTCCAGGACTGCTCCAGCTTGGCCAAGAGGGTCACACATATGTTTGGAGGCTGCTGATGTGAGAAATATTCTCAAGCTTCATTGAGTCAGGTACCAGCTTCCACTGAAAATTCCTTTTTAAATTATCAGGTTTGCAATCCATGAAGGCTTGGAGCACTTTTGTTATTGCTGTTTGACTCTGAAACTTTACGACTTTCTTTGTATTTTTTTCAGAGACAATTGCCTAACATAGAAAAGAAAGTCAAATTCTCTCTATGTCCTGTCCCACCCCAGGATGTCTGGCCCCACCTCAGGGTGCTCCTTCCTTCCCTGTGACCCTGACACCTTCAACTCAGTCTCAGAGCACCCAAGCCAGACTCTAGGGTCCCTTGAGCTCCACCAACAGTCAAGGAGTCGCTAAGTGGGACAGGGCAGCAATGAAGAGCCAGAGGCAGTTGGAGACCAGCCCTGGGAGGACGCTGAATGAGCTGTAGCCCTCATGGCACCCATGGGTGGGACATGGTACCTATGGATGGGCCATGGCATCCATGGATGGGCCTTGGTGACCATGGATGGGACACAGCACCCTTGCCCTGGTGACCAGCCCTTCTCATCCCTCAGGCAGACAGCGTTCCCCGCTCGCCACTCAGTGAGGAGTATGACTGCACCTACCGACGGGCGCGCCGACGCAAGCCCTCCATTTGCCAGCCCAACAAGCCTGGTGAGTCCCACAGCACTAGCAGAGCCTGGCTCGCAGGGCTGGGGAGCGGGATCGTCAGCTAATTACTGCCCTAAAGCAGAGGTGGCCATCAGTGCCGCCATCCCTACACACCAGCCTGTATGTCCCCACCCTGGGGGCACCCATGCTGCCTTCCCTCCCTCTCCTTAGGGTGTCCCAGCCCTCCAGGCACCCTAGAGGGGATGTGGGCTGATTTTGACATGTGTGGTACTCCCCAAATTAACCTGTTGTGCTGCCCCACAGACCCAGACACGGGCATCTCTGATGCAGAGCAGTATCATACCTACTCAGAGCTCACCAACCCGCAGGACCCGCTGAGTAAGGACCAGTGGGATGACCTGGGCAGCAGCACCACTCCCTGCTCCCAGACCAGCGATGACGAGGCCAAGACCAGCAGCCCTGCGAAAGCCGAGTCCATCCTCACATCCAAAAAGGATGACTTTGCTCTGCCCACACTCAGCCTCGTCACCCCCAGTGCTGGCGACACGGAGGTCAGCAAGCAAACAGCGGAGAGCAGCCAGACCTACACAGGTATCTCCGGCTGCCACCAAAGCTGGCAGGATGGTGGTGAGAGATGCTTGGGCATGGTGGCCTTATCTTGGGGCAGAGCCAAGCAACTCACATGGATTTGAGGGAAGCCACGCTTGTGGCCAAGGGTCTTTGCTGCTTTTTGTCTCCACTAGTATCTGCTCTGTCCCCCCTGTGCTCTGCAGATTCTCCCACCACCCAGGGACCCTTTTGGGGCTGCCCCAAGGGGCCAAATGCTATGTGCCTTCCATAGGCATGTTGGGTGCTGGCGTGATGTACTGTCCATGAGCACCTTGGGTACCAGGGTGATGGACCTCCATGAGCACCTTGGGTGCCAGGGTGATGGATCCCCATAAGCACCCCAGGTGCCAGGGTGGGGGACTCTCCCTGAGCACCACATATGTCAGTGTGAGGCTCTCCATGAACGTGTTGGGTGATGGATCCCCATAAGCACCTCAGGTGCCAGGGCGATGGACTCTCCCTGAGCACCATGTATGTCAGCGTGAGGCTCTCCATGAGCGTGCTGGGTGATGGATTCTGGAGCACCTTCATGCCAGTGGGGCTGGGAGATGCAAAACAGAAGTGCTGAGATGTCTCCTCTCCTTCCAGCCACTCCCCTGGACATCCCCAACATGTTCACCTTCTGGGAGGACCAAAGGCCGAACCACCCCCCAGAGCCTCTGCAGCACATCTCGGTGGTGCACAGCTCACGGGATATATCCCTGCACAGCGACTACAGACCAGGGCAGATCGAGTCCAGGCTGGAGCTCCTGCAGGCCCAGCTCAGCAGGTGGGCAGGTCCCTGGGGCACAGGAATGGGGAGCACCCAGGGGGGCTCTGGGTCATCACCTTCTCCTGCTCTCCAGGGGTGGCTGCAGTGGGGTCTGTGTGCAGCAGATGATCCCCTGGGACACTGCCGTTCCTGGGGAGATGGTGGGAGCGCTTTGCAAATGCAGCAGCTTCTCAAACTGCAAGTCCTGGCCCTGGCTGCAGGCCAGCACCTCGTCTGCCACTGTCCCACCGCTCCTGGGACCTGTGGCTTTGTCACTGCCTCCAAACTCGATCCAATTGCAGACATGAACCCACTCCCGGGCTCACAACCTGAGCCTTTTGCGGGCCTCCTCTTCCTGTTGCAAAGAGCTGCAAACATCCTCTTGCTCGAGCAAACAAGCCTCGTGCACACTGTTGCCCTCTAAATAAGAAAAAAGACATGATTTTTGAATGAGGAAGAAGACCCCGCACTGGAAACGTGCGTTTAAAGCCCCCAGGCAGCACCCCCACGTGCCCGTGTTAAGCTCACTTCACCGCAGAGCCCGCACACATATTTCAGTGTCTCGACAACGTACCGTCCCTGGCAGCAGATCTGGGGCTGGATCTCCTTCCCACTCTGCCAGGACCGCTGCCTGCAAGAGGGCCTGTGCCCGCTTCTGCCAGAGCCGCTCATTTCAGTCCAGGACAAGGCAAAAGGAAGGGACTTGTTCTCCTTTTCCATTTCCTTCTGTTCCTCCGTTAAAAAAGGTTGGCACCAACCTGCCTTGCTCCCATCTGGCAGCACAGGCAGCTGGCCTGGAGAGTAGATCCGGATTAAAACTAACCATTGCAATTTTTTCCCCTCTGGGGTAGTTTTAGCTTTGTTGATTTCTCTACTCCACATCCCAGTTTGGGTCCACAAAAAATTGGGCAGGGGATGATTGAGTGTGGAAGGAGAGAGATGACAGGATGGATCTCTCTGTGGCAGCGCTGGTTTGATGCTTTCTAAAAAATTCACCAAACAGCACCAGGCAAAGCATCATCACCCGCCGGCAGCTGAATCGCCACCTCCTCCCCAGTGCCTCCCCTGCCCAGCCGCAGGTCTGTCTCTCATGGGATGCAGTGGGATGCACTGCGCTAACACCGGGCTGCTCTGTCCCCAGGCTGGAATCCAGGATGTCGTCAGACATTAATATAATCCTCCAGCTCCTGCAGCGCCAGCTGTCCCAAGTGCCACCCGCGTACAGCCCCATCTCACCGTCCTCCCACAACCTGGCCATGTACGGCATCCTCCCACGGAGCCTGGAGCCGCTCAC